TGATTGGCTCTGGAGTATATTATTNCTTCATGTTGCAGTGATCACTAACAACACACCTGATGGTTTTCTACTAGTCAATGCATTGTATCACATAAATTGTAACACATCGGAACCATTTAGCATACAGACAGGAGGTGTGACTGTGATTCCATTGACTGATACACAGACACGATATATAATCAATGAACAGGCTGATCTTTGCAAAGACGACTTCAAGTGGCAAGTGAATGTGAGAGATCCTGTGCAAGAGGCCAATGAGGCTCCTTCACCCCTTTGAGTGTTTGTCGTGCTGGTGAAATGATCATGGACTCATGGTTCATTGCTTGGATTGATGGTTGTTTAGTGCCAACAGTAGGGTAATCTTTGCACTTTTTGTTGTAACTTATAATGCATCATTTTGTTGCTGCCCTAGTTGAATTGATTGGCTCTGGAGTATATTATTGCCTGTGATACGTGGTCTGACATTGCACATATATATCTATATATTGGCTGTTCTGTAACTGTTAACTTCTTGTTAATTGCTATTTTAATTTTACTATGCATGAGGCAGCCAACCACTTTATGTTTTTTACACATTTCAAAAGGAGTGAAAAAGAGAGCGTTGCTAGTGCACTTCTTGTTAAGTTCTTATTAAGCTCAAGAAGAAGAAGAGCTAAGAAGAAGAGAGAGAAGAAAGAATGATCTTCCTTGATTGATTATAACAATACAGAAACCAGCTATATAAATAACCACTATTACAATGAATTAGTTATAACAGAAAACGTAATTAGAAAGCTAACTAACTAAATAATCTGTAGATTAATAACTAATCATTATTTACAATATTTGCACCCTAATACTCCCCCTCAAGGTGGCTTGTAAATGTCCTTTACAGCCATCTTGGACAACAAAGAAAAAAGCTTAGTAGATGGAAGGGGTTTAGTAAACATGTCAGTCAATTGGTATTGAGATCTAATGGGTAGCAATTTGAGAACTCCCGAAGCAACTATTTCACGAACAAAATGGCAATCTATCTCGATATGCTTAGTTCGTTCATGAAAGGTTGGATTAGAGGCAATATGTATCGTAGCTTGATTGTCACAATATAGCAAAGCAGGAGAATCAACTTTGACTTGAAAATCTTTAAGAAGTTGCAACAACCAAATAAGCTTACTGGCAGTACAGGAAAGGGCTTTATACTCAGCTTCAGTTGAGGATCGAGAGACGGTGGTCTGCTTTTTGGCCTTCCAAGAGACTAAAGAGTCTCCAATAAAGATGCAAAAACCTGTAATAGAGCGCGAGAATCAGGGCATGATCCCCAATCAGCATCAAGAGGCTTTCAAACAACTGGAACCAAGCATCAAAGTAAGCTCTTAGCTGTAAGGAAGAATGAGAAGAAACAACCCTTGACCAAGACTTTTCTTGAGGTACACAGCAGATGATGCACTGCCTTGATGATAGGAAGTCGAGGTTGAGCCAAAATTGAGTGACTTAATTTCATATTATGCATGAGTATTAATTACAATTTTTACGAATAAATTTCAGCTAATCAAATCTTAGTTTTAATAAAATTGAATTTCGAATTTTATGAGGTGGTATTTAAGTAATTAATTAATTACAGCTACAATTTAACCATACAGATTTTATACTTTTTAATTTTTTTAAAATTCCAATCGAATTTAAATTTTTAACAAAGGGATCTATTTATAACACCACTCTCTTTTAATCCACTCCACAACTAATCAATTTTATTTGCCTTTTTGGGACTTCATTCTTTCTAGAATTTGCAAGAATGAATTAATTATATATAATATATATATTATGTATATATCTATATATTAGTATTATATATATATATATATTTTTTTTAATAATTTTTATCTTATAAAAAATTGCCACAATTTTAAATACACTCATACTCTATTTTATATATTTGTTTTAATTCTTAACCATTAATTTATAATCATAAACCCTAACTTTAAATCTTCTAATTATTAAACTTTTTTTTTTTTTTTAACACTTATTTGTTTTATGATATACACCGTATGAATAAAGTGTCACCAATGTGATAAATTTGACTCTAAAGAAAAAACTAATTTAAATTGGGAAAAAAGGAATAAACAAAACCTAATTAAAATTAGAGAAAATTGATACAAAAAACTCTTTTAAGTTTGAAATTGGGGGAAAATGGTTTAAAAAAAAACCCTAATTAAGTTTGAAATTGGGAAAAAAAGAGATGCAAATGAAAACCTTCATTAAACCTAATTAAGTAGGGCTTTATTTGATATTAAATGGGGTTTTAAAGAGAAATTTTAAAAATATAATAGAAGTGTATTTAATAATGAGTCAATATAGAATTCGGAGTCAAATTAAATTGAAAATCCATAGGAAATCAGTGTAAATATCCTAAAGAGTATTACATAAACTTATTTTTGACTTAGTTGAAGACACTAATTCATACGCTTTATAAATTATAATCCACACCAATGTTTTGAAAATCAGATCGGACCGATCCGACCGGATTTCAGAGAGAAAGACGGTTCATATACTAATAAAAACCACTTTTAACACTCAGACCGTTTTAAACCGAAATTAAACCTCTTGAATAGTATCAGATCGGCGGTCCAACCGGACCAGCCATAAACCGGTCCAACTAAAATAACCTTAAATTAAACCCATTTCTCCCTCATTTCCATTGGATTTGCGATTTTTCGTCGGAAATTTTTGCTGTCGTTAACCTTCTGTTTTTCTTTCAAGTTTGTCTTCGATTCTTCTCTCATTTCATCTTCGGTTCTTCTTTGTTCATCTTCAATCAGCAATCTTCTCCTCTGTCCGCCGCCGGCCGGTGAATGCTCTTCTCCCGTGTAAGAAATCTTCATTTTCTCTTACCTCACATCATCTTCGTTCTTCATCTTCTCTTACCTTACATCATTTTCATCATGATCTTTGTCAATAAGACGACGGTTTTCAGGGTGCGTTTGGTGATGGCATGGAAGACTAAAAGGCATAGGATCGTGGTTGGGAAAAGGAAGAAGGACGTCTGGGAAGTGGAAACAAAGATTCAATGAAGAAAAAAAGAGAGAGGGAGAGAGAGGAATGAAGACGTCTGCCGTCTGGAGAATGGTGGAGAAGAAGAAGAGAGACGGTAAAATAATTAATGAGAGAGAAGAAGAAGAGCGGTGGGGAAAAGGAGAGAGAAGAAGAAAATGTTTTTATTTATTGAGAAATGAGATAGAGGTGCAGAGATTTGCAGGAGATTCGAAATTGAGTGAGGACAAATTAATTGAGAGAGAAGAAGAGAAAGTGCTGGGAGAGAGAAGAAGAAGACGAAAAGATGGCTTTTTTTATTAAATATATTAAATAAATTAAAGTTTTTAATGACATGCAGTCCGGCCGACCGGTCCGATCGGTTGAATCCGTTAATTGAAAACCGAATTTTTGACCGGGTCAAGATTCGGTCTGATTTTCAGAACATTAAATTCCATAAAGGTAATTATACATAGGCTAGACTATATTTTAAACAGAGGAAAACTAAAATAGCAAAGCTGAGATCCCAATTTTAGATCCTAAATGATTTTGACACTAATGTAATTATAGGAAATTATCCCTAAATTAAACTAAGCAAGATAATATTTACAAGATGTTTCAACTCTAAGCTATTTTGATATAGAAATATAAATAATTGCTTTAGCATAAATTTTTCTTCCTTTGTTATATATCAGCCCTTGAGTTTATAAAGTTGTAAGCTTATGATTCTATTCTCTTAATACTATTAGATGTTACTAGAGAAGTTGTCCTACTAATAAAAAAACGAATCCCACATTTTCTTTCTATTTTCGTAGAAGCCAAACAACAGCACCATGAAAACAAAACCAAGGGTGATATTGTAAATTCAAATCAAATGAAAGTCAACCATGTCCATGAGGCCTCCTGCTTTCTTTCTATATTCCCGGTAGCCAAACAAAAAGATTTGCAGAGAAAAATATATATATATCTTGATCGGTACAGAACAAACTGACTTATTGATGATCTTCCATATATCTTGATCGTCTTCAACCTTTTTCCTTAGTGACAATCTTCCATAACTTGATCATGAACTTCAACGAATCATAGTTTGTTTTCATTCAATTCCGTAGGATGCAATAAATAAGATAATATCATTTCCAACTCTTAATAAAAAGACTATCCAATAACTTCTTGTTACGTTTATTAAACATATCAATTATATTAAGAACTTCACATGAATATTGACGTGACACTTAATATTGGCTGTATGTATATAATAATTTTTTTTTCCAGTTTTAACCCTCATGGTCTAGTGTAATATATCCTAATAGGTGCTTTTTTTTCTCTACTAGAAAATTGCAATTTTTTTTTTGAAAAAGGAGTTATGACAAGAAAGAGTTGAAACCTTCCCCGGCCTGTAATTTTGTTGAAATCTAAGACAGTTGATTTCAAAGTTAATTTCAAAGTCATGGGTTCTCTAAATTAATAATCGATACCTACTATTTTTAGAAGCCATTGATTTCTTCTCAGCTTGTTTCAATCAATTAATTATTCATCATCTAACCAAGATTTGTTGTAATTTCCATCAATTATGGTTGAAACAAAATTTTCACATTTTTTAACCGGGAAAAGTACAAATCTTTGAGTGATAAACAAGAGCAGTATCTATTATATATTATTAATGGCGCTTTTGTTACTTCCACAATCGGAAGCAAAATTGTAAAACGTGTGTCAATCAGCCACCTATAGTATGGAGGAGATGTTGCAGAGGTTGCAGAAATCAGCTGCAGAAGGAGATGTTGATGAATTGTTTTCAATACTTGCGGAGGATCCTCTTGTTTTGGAGCGTATTGATGTGATACCATTTATGACCACTCCCTTACATGCAGCTGCAAGAGAAGGAACGATCCATTTCGCTAAGGAAATACTAAACCTGAAGCCGTCATTTGCTAAGAAGCGAGACCACCTTGGCCCTTGGGCGTAGCCCCCTTCATTTGTCTTTGGAGGGGAAGCACATGCTGGAAGTGGGTAACCCCGGTTATTGGGATTTGCAGAGGACGTACCAGGAACTGGTAACATGGCTCATAAAATTTGACAGTGAGCTTGTCCGTGTGAAAGCAAAGGGGTTGGTTACTCCTTTGCACTACGCAGCTCAAATAAACGATTATTCCAATTTGGCTGATTTTTTGTATGTTTGCCCATCATCTATCCAAGATTTGATAGTTAAATGTGAAACTGTCGTCCATGTGGCCATAAAAAACGGGAGTTGTAGAGCTTTGAAAGTATTGTTAGGATGTCTTAGAAACTTCAACAAAGAAAAGATCCTATTGTGGGAGGACGAACAAGGAAACAATGCGTTACATACTGCAATTTCTGAAAACCAAATTGAGGTAAGCATATGATATATGTATATCTATCTTAACTGCACGCTCTTTTTGGCAATGTCCTTTATTTATATGAACCTGGCTTCTAGAAGGGATGGATTGATTTATCAATCAAGTGTCTTAACTTGTCCTTATCTTATCAATAACAAAGGCGGTGAAGCTGTTGATCAAATATATGGAAGTAAATAAAGTGAACGGCGAAGGTTTGACAGCTCTGGACATCTTCTACGATCGCCAAGATTCGCTGAATCCAGAGGTTGGGGAAATTCTACGTGGTGCTAAAGCTAAAAGAACTTCTGAATTAGCAGCCATTCATTTGTCAATCTCTAGACTTGCAAAACTATTGGGTGTTGAAAATTCACCAGTCAGGTACTTTTCTGAAAAATTATCATTTGCGAAAAGCTTTCTGAAAAGCTTGGGGCTTATTGACCATAGCATAAATAAAGTACCTCTTGAAGTCCGAAACGTACTACTTGTGGTGGCTATATTGATTACTACAACCACCTATCAAGCTGCACTCAGCCCCCCTGGAGGATATTGGCAGGATGATGGGAATCTGCCAGTAAACAACACTGTTATCAATAAAGACACCTCCTCCATCCTCGGTGATGAAGAGCCATCAGAACAACGTGCAGGGCACATGATTCAGGGGTCTTTCATTCATTTATTCTTTTTGCTATTTAATTCTGCGGCTTTCTACGCGTCTGTGTGCTCAATTTTGATTCTTACAACTGCGCTTCCTTTCCGCAAATTCACCATCGCATCGACATATTTGATCGTATTTTCATTTAATTTTGCAGTTATGGAAACCTTTCCGTACCTAAATAATTCAGCTGTATGGTGGATCTTTATTTCTTTAATGCTTGTAACTGTATATGTTACATTATATTATCCATACGAATTTTATCTGTCAGAAGTAAATAAGCTTACGCGGTGTGGCCGGGGGAAGAAACTACGCCTGGGTAGATTCGAAGATGAAGTCAAGGGTAATAATTTTGGGTGAATTTATATTGTTTATGTCGTGCATGCTATTAGAATCAGCATTGTTTGTAACCTTTGAATTTTCTTAATAAAATTGTTTAATTTTTTACCATCACATGGGACCTCAACTCAATCTCATAGTCATGGAAATTATGTAAAGCTTTTACCAGTTATATTTGAAGCTTTAAAATACTAGTCCTACAAAGATTTAATATCAAGTCTTTCATACAAAATGACATGTTATATTATATTATTGGATAAATTAATATAAAAATCAGTCACTATCATTTAATACGTATTTATTAGGTTAATTTTTATATTAATTCATCAAATCATATTTTAATAATCATTTTGTATAAAAGACTTTGTATAAGTCTTCATAAGTGTAGTATAAGTAAAGCTATTTGGGCTACAATACTTAATGCCACATTAATGTTACGTGGTTTCATATGTCACATAACATGTCATATGGCGTGCTATGTCAGTTTGTACAAACTCTTTTTATACAATAGTTTCATTGTATTATAATTAAGGTATAAACTTTTTAAAACTTTCAATGAGAAGACAGAAGTTACAAATTCTTTAATTAAAGGCAATCTAACTGTGAGTTACCATTAACTTCAAAGGAAATGATAAAAAGACTTAGATGCCCTTGACTTCTTTTTTGCTTCTTTTTATTAACTAAATTTAGTTCTTACTTTAACTCGTGTTTTAAAGTTTTCAAACCGAGGGTTAAATTGAGAAGCTCTTTTAGCATTAGCACCATGTAGAATTTTCCCAACCTCTGGATTCAGAGAATGTTGGCGATCGTAGAAGATGTCCAGAGCTGTCAAACCTCTACCGTTCTTTCTATTCACTTTCCTATATTTTAATCAACAGCTTTAACCACCTTCATATTGAGGAGGGAAGGACAAGTTAGAAACTAAACTAAATTTGCCAAAAAGTGCATAATGAAAGACATGGACGTTTATATTACCTTAAGTTGATTTTCAGAAATTGCAGTATGCAACGCATTGTTTCCATCTTCCTTGCAGGTCAGGATCTCTTCTTTATCGATGTTACGAAGCGGTCTAACAAGACTTTAAGAGCCCAGAAACTCTATTTTTGACGGCACATGACAACAGTTTCACATTTAATGTCAAATCTAGGATTGAAGAGGGCAAAAAAAAAAAAAAAAAAATCAGCCAAATTTAGTTCATCTCTATTTGAGCTGCATAGTACTGCAAAGGAGTAACCCCCTGTGCTTTTACACGGAAAGCATTCTCCTCTCTTTCTCAGATTAGAATACTCAAACATGAAAGCGAAACTAAGATGTTTTATACTTAAAGGTACTTAACTTTCTTGCTTCATGTGGTCTGTTTCACCCTATGGAGTTTTTACTTTACAAAAGATTAAAAGAAAAAAGAAAATCCTATTTCTGTTGTTGTTGCCTTTCATAAGAAAACATAAAAATAAAAGGAGTAATGTTATCTTAGCGGGCTTATTTTTTAAATTTCTTTCGAGGAGGTTTCCCAAAAAAAAAAAAAAAATGAGTATTTTTATGAAAAGTTGATGGTTATATATGTAACTGTTGTATGGAGAAGACTCTCTAGAAGTTTTTCCAAAAGAAATTACTATCTGAAAAGTTTCATTTCCGTTAATATCTGTACGTTATTTTAACTGGAAATGTAGGATAGTAAATTCAAAAAAAAAGTCAAAGGCACATTATGTAACTTTACCATAAATATAAGGAAAACTACCCCTTCTCTCATCTCTGCCTCCCTCCCATGTTTTATCTCTTCATCTTGACTAATTTTTGTCAAGAAAAATAAAAATAAAAGACTTAAAAAAAAGAAAAGCTTTTTCATGCCTTATTTTTTGTTTTTTATTTTTTCAATTTGTTTAGTAATTTTAATTTATTTTAAAAAATAATTTAATATGTGATTACTATTTTTCTCCTATAGAAAATCAAATGACTTTCAATAGTTTGTGTATTTACATTAATTGAAGGTTTGATACTTTGTCATGATTAAAAGATTTGTAGCTTCTGCCTTTTCACGAAAAATTACAAAATTTTTATACAAACCTACATGTTTGTTATGTATTATTTAATTTAAATCAATCTAATCATCTTTTGTACATCAGTTGGTATGAGAAAGTTGTGTATAAAAGTTTGTAAATGTAGTTTATTCCCAAAAATATCTCAAAAGTTTGTACCTTAATTAAGATATATTTTAAGAATAATATCCGTACACTAAAATCTTACAAAAATTTCTATATAAAGTACGTGGTATAGAAAAATGAATGGAAGAGTAAACACAAAAATCAAATTTATTTCATATTCACTTTTCATGTCATTTTTGTCACATCATTTGTATTAAAAATCTTTATAAGGATTTATTTGTACGTATAGTATTACTCATTTTAATATCTGTTTTTAATTACAAAACATGTATAGGGGTTAAAAGTGATTTCCAACAACATCCAGGGTTTGTTTAGGCCTTGACTTTTTCTTCTCTTCTTTTCATAGGTATAATTAAAAGTGTCAACATTTGATATACCAACGGCGGAAGTGGAAGCAGCATGCTCACATCCTGAGGTTAAACTTGTATATGCAAGTGTTGACACATCATTTTGAAAATTCTCTAAAAATACATCATAAGCATCATTATATATTTATTTTCTAAATATCATGTAAATGACAAACATCATTAGTTCCAATTTTCCTTTTTCAAAAAAAAAAAAAAAAAAAAAAGAGGAGGTAAGAATATAATCTCTCAGTTGTTAATAAAGGTGATTATTAAAACTTTATCTGTGAAGTTGATAGTTTCTAGTCCAGAATTGTTAAGATACGATCATTAAAAAAAAAGAAAAAAGAAATGAGATTCATATTTCCCATCCAGACTAAAACTTTCTAAGTTTCTAAGTTATGGATGAGAGGTTGTAGAATTCTACTGCAGAAGGAGATGTCTTGCTGGTGCTTACTTCACTAATTCTATTATAAATGGGAGAATAATACACATACATCATTTCATAAACATTTCCCACACAACAATTATTGTGGCATGATGATTGGTTAATTGAAAATAAAAATAAACTTTCACCAATCACATATGCCACATAATGGTTGTATGAGAACATATATATGTGAATGATGTATGTAGTATTACATTATAATTATCATAAAGATAGGTAGTAAACCTTTCTATAACTTTCTCTCATAAAAGCGACATGAATTATAGTGAAACAATCAAATTGGTCATTCGCAATAATCAGATGAGATTATTATTGGCAAGTAAAACTTATTGCGATTGGGACCATTACGAGCTGTTACTGTCGTCATTTTATAAAAAAAAGTTAATAAAAAAGGTTTATAAGCATAGTATTACCCTAAATATTTAATATTTGAGGTAAAAAATAATAAAATTGAATCAAACAGTAATTTTCTTATACAAATCTTGAGAAATAAGAAGACAATTAATTCATGATAAAAAATATAACAACTTAAAAATTAAAAAAAAAAAATTTAAATAAACAGGGATAAAAGTGATAAAACTTTTTCTCTTGGAGCTAGAAAAATAAAAAATCCAAGAGCTTAAGGTATAAATGTCTTGACATTATATTAAAAAATTAAATATGAGAAAAATAATACCAGTAAACGTCAACAAACCACCAGGAATAGAACCTTTATCAACCAACTATAAATAATATTTATTCAAATTCCAAAGTAAATATTTTAATTTCTTCAGATTCATACCAGGCCTACAATGAGACAAGTCGCGTAGCGAGCTAATAATAGTATAATACTCGATTTAGCAGCTTCGTAAGCTTAATGCGCTCGGTGTATATAAGATATAATTAATAATTATAATTGAAGTCGAGCTCGATTTGATTCGTTGTAATTGAGTCGAGCTCGACTTATCAATATTTATCGAGCTGACAATTGAGAGCCGTCATGGTGAGCTCCAGTCAAGGTCGCCTATCCAACAGAACCAAGCTCAGCTCTTGGGTCGGTTCGACTCAATGAACCCATTCATACAAATCAGTAGAGTTTTTAGTTCAGATATATGAAGTCCCACATTAACACGGTGTCAGATTCATCCTCAAACAAAAACCTGCCTTGCGGATCAATTAGAGAGAAAAATTCTAAGATTACCACGAAAGATTATCGACAGATATCTGTCACGGTCACAATAATTCAGTCCGCCAATCAATTATTTCTCTTGACCAATCTTTGTGGATCTCTCCGGGGGTTGATGTAGTACCATAGTGCAGAGGTTTGTAATATATAATTAATATAATCTCATCCGATGAACAACCTCAAAACTCTAGGGATGTCTGTTTCTGATGAATCGAAAAAATTTTTTGCGTATGCAACTGAATGATAAAGAAAACAAAGTAAGTGCGAGGTGACGGTTGATGAATATGTTAATGGAAACAAACTAGGAAAATATACTAATACAATTAATCAACACGATAAAAAATTTCTTATTAAAAAGGATAACAAAAATATAATACTATTTAAATGAAGCTAGTGGAAATGTTTAAAAACTTTTTTGAATATACTTTACCTACGAAGGTGATGGGAAAGGGGAAAACTTACAACTCTTGAGAATAAAGAACAAATGCAATATTATATCAGGTTGTTCTACCGGCTCTGTATGTTTGTCCTGTTTAGAAAAGGCCAAGCATAAGCCCACTAATTTCCAGGGAATAACACATTTCGTTATCAAGGGTTAGCCTGAAGGTACCCTTACCCTATATATTAAAATCTTACAGTTTCATCCATATATTTTCAATGATCACGTTACCATTGCTTTCCAGGGGAAGGGTTGATGATGATTAATTCATTTTTAAATTAACAAATTAACAAAATTTCGAATCAAAACAAAAAACATATAACGATAATAATTATAAATATTTATAACACTTGAATTAATTGATCAAACCAATGCCATAATCTACAAACCACAATCATTCGAATTGATTACTTTGTGAAAAAAATTACAGATCTATAGAAAGTTGTATGATTTATATGTAATATGTAAGACCATCCTATAGGATAGTAAAAGAAGATAATTTATAGTTTGTGTGTTATAATTACAGTAAATAATATGGAATATAATACTGTTTTTCCACATATCTATAGGGATGTATTGAGCCGAGCCAAGCCGGAGTATCTCTATACTCGACTCGGCTCCAGTGATGAACAAATAGCAACGCTCAAGCTCGAGCCGAGCTAATGCGATTCAATATCTGTTGTAAAAAGCTTGTCTGATTTAATAGTGTAAATTTAATCACCTATGAAGTAAAAGAAGGATAATTTACATTTTGGTTGGTGTTAGTCGATTAATAAATACATATGGAAAGTCATTATTACAATGTTTGCAAAATGATACATTCCATTCTTCAAATGAAATAAGAAGAAATACAGGTATGTAGGATCTGTTAATAATAGTTGTTTATTTGCTTTGTAATGGAAAATTGTCTTGGATGGTTATAAATCCCCCAAAAAAATCAAAAAACGTATACATAAATCAAAATGAAAATATTAAAAATCAATCTAATCAAACAATACTTTTTACAATATTAATGAAAGAGGAATGGCATGAATACGTTGATAATCATGATGATGATCGAAGTTTTGTCCGGTGTCTGGAGACGTCAATTACGGCATAGGGAAACCGGTTGATGATAAGAATCACCAGGAGTGTCGATCCGTGCGTGCGGGGAGTTGGGTTCTTGCAGGGCCAACATGAGTGTCCAACACCGGCAATACGCTAGGATGGCGAAGATGGGTCCGACGTGCCAACGATTGACCCACACACCCCTGCAACGCATCAATCACCAAGCTTTCTGATTGATTTATGTTCTTGACCAGTTTCAAGTCCGCCTATTTGGGTTTCGAAGGACCGAGGTTTGGTTTTGGCAGTGATTGTATAATGAAGTGCATTTAGATTTTTTAACACCAATTTGTAGTTCAAATGCATTTTTACAACGAAACTGGTATATAGGGGTACAAATGTTAGTTTCTGAAAACTTTGGGTGAGCATGTTCTTTCAGGTAAAACTGGGGGTGTCAATTAAATGAATCAAACAAAAGATTTAACATATGCATTGTTGCTAACACAGAAATTTCAAAGGAGTAGTATTAAGACTTTCTATTATTTTAACATCATCATCGACGAGGTCCTCCTGTGTACAATAAAAAAATCTCAAATCCAACTTTAAATTAGGTCCTTTCTCATCTAGTGGTTAATTAGAGATTTAAATTTAGCGCGCGTACTCAAGATGGGTGAAGGTAAATCAAGCACAACAATTATAAAACTTACAGGACTTACTGCTTAAACGTTTACATTTGTCGTACATTAATGTGTTGTTGTCAAACGTATTAATATCATTCCATTTTTGCAAACCCTCGAGTTGTATAAAAAGAATATTCTTTTGCGTAAAGGTGATATAAAGGAATTAGTACACTATCATTTTGATAATAGGTATAAAAGAATATGTACATCCTATTCATTGATATGAGATATATACTATATATTAATCACACTATTCAAAAATGAGATTTTCATTCAACAAAATAGTTATAACTTTTGATGTAAATTACCTTAAAATCGAGTTAAACCACTTAAACCTTCAAATCGGTTTGGTTTGATTTTGAGTTTCAAACAATACTTGTTTTTTTCTCCGTCAAACTCGACAGTATTTAATGGGTATAAGTTCAACAAAATCTGAAACAAACCTCGTTGATTTACATTGATATTCGTTTAATGTTGTGCATCATCAGTTTGATAACAATGTAAATATAATACATAAATAAAACATCGTTAAGAGAATGAGACAATTTCATAAAATATATATAGGGTAATATGTTTAAGATTTTAACTTGAACATCATATGTTCAACAGCTACTGCGAAAGACGAACCAATGAAATTAATTTACATTGTTAACTCGGCGCTCCAGTACAAGAAGCATAAATCAAATGCTAATGACAGCGAAGAAACATTGTCTAATCGAAAAAGTTGTATCCAGTAACGTCAGCGACCGGCTTCCCAGAAAGGCTCCTCTTTCTATTGTGAATTTATTGAGAAACCATATAGGAATATCTATTGTGAGTTTTCCGAATCCGTAGTTTTGCATGGAATGTTTCACGTCGGCAACTGTCCGAGGGAGTATCCTTCTCAACAGTATGACGCTTCACTTCTTTGAGTTGAGTTTAGAGAAAGCAGTAGCTGCTCATCTTTTCGATATGTTCTCTACCGAGAAGTAGGAGCCTGTGGAGAGGACGAGTGAGCTCAGTTATCTTAACGATGGAAATGGCTTCCTTCTGTTCAGCTATCTCTCTGCTATCACAACGTCTACTCATTTTGTCGATGATCCATCTACTTGGGATCGTTCTCTGTCGTTCCACCTGTAGCTCCTTTATTATAGGATATCAAAATATAGGTTAATTTCTTTCCCTCTATCATGGTTAATTAAACTCTTCCTATTCTCTTATCTAACCTAAGTTGATTTCTGAAAACTACTGTTGTATGAAAGCTTTTAGTTTTTGTATTTGTTTTTTACTTGCCTATTCTGTCCTTTTATTTTCTCGTGTTTATAAACGGCTGGATTTTGAATGTCGGTGTTAAGGAAACGTACAGGGTACACCGATGAGTGGATTGGCATAAGGGGATATTATCCCCAACGACGATAGACCAACCTATTGTTGGCATGTTTTTCTACGCCAGGGAAAGAGCTGGCTCAACACAGCTTTTCTCTGTGTTGACGCGGTTACTGCATCGGTGTAAACAAAGTTTCTAGTAGTGTTAAGCAATAATAAAAAAGAAAAATTATGTCAAGTTAGAGTTGTATAATTTTTCATAACCTTTGTTACCGTTGATTTTTTATTCTATATAATTTTCAAGAAATTAAAGACAGTTTTATATACAAGAAATTTTATGAAATTGAGATGAATTTTAAAAATTATATAATTCTAAATCACGTAGGTTAAAAAGGATACTATGGTCATTTCTTCAATGTTTGGAAAATCGTTTTTCCCTCCCGTTGTCAGTTAGTTTTGGGTAAACAACAGTTGAAAAAATGTCCAAAAGGGTATTACGAATTTATGATCATTCCACAAACCTTGAGAAAAGTGTTTTTTTTTTCCCCAGTAAGTGGTTACGTCCCAGTAAACAACATTAGCCTCGGCCCAACAGGGCCCAAGGGTAATTTTGGAATAATGTAGAAACGTGAGGTTTCCAACGAGATTTTCAATTCCTCGGTTATTCCCCTACCTCCCTTGAGTTTAAGAAACTACCGGAAAGACTCACAGGGATTAGAAATTATATATTTCCTCCCCTAGTTAGTTAAAGTTTGACCGTTAAATTTCATGGTCAAAGGGAGGTAAGTGATAAATTTTTTTTTTCAAATCTGAGGAGAAGTTACTGATTGATGGTTTTTCATACCTCAGGCGTCTTGTTTAATTAATTTCCTAAACTTTGAGGGTCGTAAGTGGAATTACCCTTATCATATGAGATAGAATAAAAATATTACATTTACTCAGTTTCTTTTTCGGTTTTTACTACCCTTTCTTGCATCTGCATGAGCTAAAATTCTTTACTTAACTGTGTTTACAATTTTCAATCCAATTTAGAGGTGTTAAAAGTGACTATCAACTCAAATAACTCGACGTCACTGAAATAAAAAAAAAATAAAAAATGAATAACTCACAATCTAAGTCGAAATTTTTTCCCCCCTTTTACGTTTTCACAAAGCTACAATTTCCCCTTTTGATTTTTTGCAGTCAAAACCCTAACATGGAGATTAAAATATTTTAATAATCTTTACTAGGGTTTACGTTTGGAGAGTTATATATAAGATCTTTTTCTCATATAACATCAATTCGTGGGCGATAAGATCTTTCGATATCAAAGAGCACACCAATTTTATCTTTGAATCATTGGTACGTAATTTGTTTTCTCTATATGATCTGTGTTAAGATTATGATTAGTGTTGAATCTTTGGTTGGCTATTCCTTGTGATCTCAAATCCTCTTTCTAAAACTAGGGTTAGTGTTGAATCTTTGGTTGGCTATTCCTATTATTATTTCTCTTTCTATTTGAGCTTTGTTTATTATTTATGAACGATCTAATAATCTTGCTGCTTTGTTTGTTTTTTGATTTAGGAAGGGGAGGAACCTGATTGCTGGGAAGTGTTTATAAGGTTTTATATCTTTACCGAATCTTGTGGATTATTAATATATAGTACTCATGGATAATATCTTTTCTTTTCCCGGGTTTTGTTGTTCAATTGCACCCTTTTGTTGCCAAATTGTTTGATTTCTTAAATTTGGAATTGTTTTGATTATGTAATGTAACTGTTACATAACACAGGCTCTTTATAATGGTTTTATTGACGAGCTTTTCTCCTTTGACATATCAAAGTTTCGAAATGTCTTTGCTATAAACTAGCTTTCTACATTTAAGGGTTACAACAGAAAAGCATAACTGTGCATGGCTAAATTGAAAGCAAATATTGCTTAGTAATTGACTTGGACATCATCTAATGCATTTTTCTTTGGTTTCGGTGATGGTGGGAATGAAGACAGTGAGGCCTTCTGTAATGGGAAAGAAGATCACAGTCCTAATACTATGGATTATTGCTCAATATATAACAGATGTTGTCGGACAAACAACTCATTACCTCCCATGGTCTCTGGAAACCAACTTTCTTGAATGGGACAAGAACAACACTATATACGTTAATGACAGAATAGGTTAGCTTCTCTCTCTTTTTCCTTTCGTGTTGTCTTCTATGTCACTGATAGCTAGGAATATTGAAGAGACTAACATTTAACGATAAAGATTACATCCATAACATTTGACTTGTTATGCATCAATTCGTATTTAATAGTATTGCTTGAGCTAAAGGTAAGTTACGTGTCTCTTGACTCTTTGCTTATGTGCCTTTAGAGACTCCAACATTAGTTGATGAAAAGTATGTAGTTGCAGATCTTGGATTCTTCATTAATTTGTGGTAGCTATGTGTCCACATTTTGGAGTAAAACTTGAATTTTTTCAACTAAATTTTCTTCTTGAATCTCATCACCGAATATTCTAATTTGGTTGAGATTTTCTTATACTCTATAGAACATTGTTGAATGCTTTCACTTTCTTTGATTTCTAAAGGATCACAGTCCCTCTACAGTGATTGCACATTAATGGAGATGGCTTGGTAGATCCTTCAAACTCCTTTTTTTTAGACTTTACCATGCATCTTTTGAGTGCAATTTTTTCACAATTTTTGCACCTTTAAAAATGAGCTCCTTCTTCTTGATAGCTTTCTTCGAATCTTCGATTAATCCCACAAATATTGAGACACAATTTTTCTTCATACGAATACTTCTAGCTATATAGATAATGAAAGAAAAAAGAAGGCTTGTTTTGTGAAGTTAGTGTGGATTTTTATTAAGGCTGTGATACCACCAACAGGTATTGTGCAGTTAAAGAGTTTTGAAAGAAAATATTACCCCCCACGAAGTTTAGTAGAGCCCTAAGTGTCTTTGTTTTATTAATAAATTCAAAGAATTTGCATGATCATAGTGGTTTGAATGTGCTATCATATGACTTGTTGGAGCAGTGTTTAATTACGAGCCGAGCTATACCCTTATTGATGTGAATTTCCGTGGATACATAAATTGCAATACTACAAACCCAATTAGCAATTATGAGGATGGTCTTACCCAGATGGAGATGACTCAAACTGGTACATGATACTTCATCAGCAGTGCAACTGGGAGCTGCGATTTCAAGCACTTCTTCATTGTGAAATCTCGCGATTTGCTCACGACTAGTCTTGTAGCTCATATGACCTTACAAGTTCCTCCAGCTCCAGCTTCGGCTCCAGTACCTTATATAAATTCTGGTGGTGGTGGTGATGGCATGGCAATTGTCAATATTGTTTGGATTATTATTGGTGGCTTAATGTTAGCACATTGAAATGAGGCAGATTTGTTTTTGCGGCTGTTTTATTTATTAATTTTTGTATTAAAATTGTTTTAAAGATTGGTTTGGGGTTTTGGATGTAAACGCTTGAATAGATGATTAAAATGTGAATTTCAATTTTTGGGATATTGATGATGAATTAATTTGTTTCTTCTTGCAACCTGGTTAGAATATATTTTTATGATAACATAGAATATAAATGGCAGCTTCTTGTTTAGGGTTTATCAACCGGATTTTGAATGTTATTGAATGCAAGTGCAGGATGATTGGTAAATGCTGCAACTTTAAAGAGAAATGAAAGGTAACCTAAAAGAAATTGGCGTTCATCATCTGAGAATTATTCTTGTTTTGAATGGACTCCCACCTATTCAAAATTTTACTTGCCATTCTGTCTAAAAGTCAGAATCCAAATCCCATTGGGCCTTTGTGGGCTGTATTCTGTCCTTCATTAGCCACCGGACCTTAGTGGTCTTTTCCACAAAATGGAAACTTCTTTGTTTATAATATGAGCTTATTCATAAATTTAACAAAGCACAATAGAGTATACATGAAACGATTCTGTTTAGCAATAGAGAAGCTATCTCATTATAAATTGGAAACTGTTACTTAACCTATTTTGATGTACATTTGAGACATAAAAAGTAATTACTTTAGCCAAGTTTTATTTATATAACAAATGATGATCTTGTACCATTTTTCACATTACCGAATAGCATATATAGTGTTTGGTTACTGGGAAAATAGACAAGAAAAACTCCTTCATTTTGTTTAAATGCATCGGGAAACCAAATGATGAAAACAATAATAGACCATTCTTTTGTAATCATAAGTAGAAATCAACATAAATTTAATTGTAAGCCATGCAATATACAATGGAAAAACTAATCGGTCATTACTCCGAATTAATGAAAAAATGAAAAACAAGAAACAGAAAAGAAAGAAAAAATCAACAGATTTTCTTTCTATTTTCCTAGTAGCCAAACAAAAAGAAATACAGAGAAAAAATATATGACTAAGGGCTGTTTTGTAATTAAGGTAAAAATTTTAAGTTCGAATTCATCACATTTAAAATCATTTTTGACATTTGATTTCGTTTAGATATATATAAATTTTGTGACGAGAATTAATATAGAATTATTTTTTTTCACATTTGATATTGTCTTAAATATTTTCAATTGTAGTAAAATTCATTTTCAATATCATTTAAAGAAAATAAAATAAATTTTATTTTTTTAAAATAAATTAGTACTATATAATTATTAAATACATTTAAATTTTTAAATGAAGTTATAATGCTGAATTATTTTTAATTATTATATTAAAATTTGGTTTGAATAACACAAAAAAAAAAAAAAAAGGGTTTGGGCCAACTCAAGTGGTCCAAGGGCTTCAGTCGGTGGGCCTGGCCCTGGGCCCACGTGACTCAAGCTTGAGTCACTTCCAAACCCAGAAAAATGCAACATTTTTGCATTCCTTTTCTCTTCCATCAATTTTTACACCATTTTCAAGTATAAATTTTCTGATAATAAAGTATATAAAGTTTTTTAAAAGTTTCTTAAACTTAATAAAGAAATCTCTTCAAATGGGTTGAACAATAATCTTTTTAGTCTCAAAATAAAATCTAGTGTTCAATCAATTATGTAAATCAAGAACTTTGTGGTCCTTTCTAATGGCTAAGTAATGGAGAATTTGTGCAATTTTTACATATCACTCTCAAGTCTCAATGATATTAATCTCTGAATGATAGTACTTGCTACTGAAATTCAGAAAAAAAAAAAAAAAAAAAAAAAACTATATGTAACCGGCTTCATCTTCTAGAAAGTAATGTAGTGTGATGACTTGAGAAGGAGTTGATTTAGTTTTACAGTAATTGAGCCACAATATGCATGGTGAGTCTAGACTTTGGATTTACATCTAAACATAAAAGGGCCACCTCCTTTATGAAAATCAGTTTGTTTTGAACTTCCAAGGAGGGAAACGGAAGCCTTGGATCCAACATATCACCAAGCGCTCTATGTTTATGTTGACAGATGAATCTGAAATTTGAGAGAGAAAATCTCTTGGATGCTTCCCTTGGATTACTTCCATTGCCAACACACCGAAGCTATAGACATCGCATTTCTCTATTACCTTCATTGTGTAAGCAAGCTCTACAAAAAATGAAATATATGTATCATAAGAAATTGTTTGTTTTAATCTATTTAACTAAGAGAAATAATGGTGAAGAGATTATATATAAAGATACCTAGCGCAACATATCCGTATGTGCCAACAAGTTCGGTCCAATTGGACGAGTCTGGGTTAAGAAGCTTAGTTGTACCAAAGTCCGACACATGAGCTTCATATTCCAAATCCAGTAGTATATTCTAAATCCAGTAGTATATTCTTGCTTGATATGTCTCGATGGAATATTGGTGGGAAACAATTGTGGTGCAGGTAAGACAAGGCATGAGCTACACCTTTTATGACATTCACTCTCTTACTCCAATCTAGTTCCTTTGCTGCTTTTTCATTGTTCAGGATTGAGGCTAAGCTACCCCTTTCGAGGTACATGTAGACTAAGAATGAGTGTCGAGAATGTGAACAAAAGCCAAAAAATTTCACGATATTTCGATGCCTTATCACTATCAATGCTTGTATTTCGCTTAAGAACTCTTTTTGATCTGCTATATAATCGGTAGACAAAGAGTGAATTTTCTTAACTGCTATAGCTTTCCCTGATAGTTAAGCTTTATAAACACTTCCTTGACCACCCATCGCAATGCAATAATCATAATGAAAATCATTCGTTCCTTTCACAATTTCTTCATACATCCTTTTTCCTTCAAAAATTGAAATTGAAAACACGTCTCCATCATTCTCACGACTTTTTACTTCTTACGAGTTTCCCTTCCTTCTCTGGGAACTGTTGAGAATTCAGATTATCACAACTAAAAAAACAAGCACTGCAAAAATAGGGAACAATATTACCAGGAAGATCAACAAACCCTTGCTCACTCCATGTTTGCCTGATTCGTAAGCTTTGGAAGATTTACAAGGTTGCGATCTGATACCATCACCACACAAATCTTTGTTCCCTTGTAATGCTTCAATGGAAGCATTTCGAAACGCTGTGGAATTTGGAATTGGACCCTCTAACTCATTGTAGGAAATGTCAATGCTAGACAGGACAAACATATTTTGAAATCCTCCTGGAATGAACCTAGAAAGGTTATTGTTGGAGAGATTCAGCTTTTGCAAAACCTCCAAATCAGATATTTGAGAAAGTATCTTTCCTTTGAGTAAATTACAACTCAAATCTAGCTCTGAAAGTTGACTTAGCTTTCCCTGAGGTGGAATTTCTTGGGTAAACTAGTTGTTGCTCAAATTCAAGGAATAAATTTGCAACAAGTTCCCCAAATTTTTAGGTATTGATTTGGCAACTTGTTAGCAGACAAGTCAAGATGAGTGATGTCTGAGAGGGATCCAATTTCTAGAGGTATACCACCAGAAAGTTTGTTCCCATTCAAAATCAGCTACTCCAGCAGACTCAAATTTTCAAGTTCTTTTGGAATCTCTCTAGCTAGAAGATTTGAAGAAAGATCAAGTCTACCGAGTTTTGTTAAGTTTCCAAGCTCAGCTGGAATGCTGCCAATAATTTTATTAGCTGAAATCTTTAGGACACCTAATTTTGGACACTTTGCCCAGTTAGATGAGATTTCACCATGAAACTTATTTTGGTTGAGATCTAAGTACTCGAGGTGTGGATAGATGCCAAAATCTTCTGATATGTCACCAACAAATTCATTTTTTTCCCAAGCGGAGTCTCTTTAGGCTTGTGCAGTTTCTCAAGCCTTTGGGGATTGGACCTCGAAGATGGTTGCATTCACTGTGAAGTTCTCAAGTAAACCACTATGGCAAATATTTTGGGGTAAAAAATCAGTGAAGTGGTTGTTATCAAGTGGCAATACAGACAAGTTCTTGAGATTTCCAATTTCTTAAGGAATTGAACCGGAAAGAGTGTTGTTACGGAGATAAAGAGATTTTAAATCTCTTAAATTACCAAAAGAAGGAGGAATACGACCACTAAGCTGATTTTCGCTTAATTCTAAATACATAAGAGACTTCAAATTTCCTATGTCATCAGGAATTGATCCAGAAAGTTGATTATTGTACAACTGAAGAAGGATTAGGTTTTTTAGACCACCTAGTGATGTCGGAATTGAACCAGAAAGATTGTTGGAGTAAAGGTTTAATTCTGAGAGAGATACAATATTTCCTAATTCTTGAGGAATGGAACCAAAAAGTTGGTTTTTGAACATGTACAATATAGTTAGGTTTCTCAGGTTTCCAAAACTTGAAGGGATTCAACCAGTTAAGCTATTGGAGAGGTTTCCCATCTCTAGAGGAATTGAGCCAGAAAGTGAATTATTGAAAATATATAAAATACCCAAATTGCTCAAATTACTCAAAGAAGTAGGAATTGAACCATCCAAATGGTTACCAGACAAGGTAAGCTCATTAAGGGAACTCAGTTGGCCTAATTCTTGTGGAATTGAGCCATTTAATTGATTATCACCTAGGTGGAGGGTTTCTAGCTGTCCTGAGAGGGTAATTTCAACAGGAATTTTCCCATAAAACTGATTCATTAACAAGTCAAGATACTTCAGTTTTGAGAGATTACCTATTTGCGTCGGGATAACACCAAAGAGTTCATTTATGCCAAAATCAACATATTCAAGATGGGAAAATGATGAGAACGACAATTCATTGAGCGTACCTTTTAAACCTGAAATCGACATGTTAAATCTATCGATTCTTCCAACAAGGTTGAAAGAAATTCCAGACCAACTACAAGGGCTTGTTCTGTTTCCAGGTTGAGTAGAATTATTGGTGGCGTTTACAGGAGAAAGAGTCCATGAATACAAGGGAGAATGGTTCTGATTTTGAAGGCTGGCTTTCCATTTCAGAAGAGCTTGTGCTTCTTCAGTAGAGTCAGAAGCAACATTGCGAGAAAATTGAAAAACAACAAACAGGATCATACAGACAAGTGAGATTGCTCTCTCCAAGGTTGATAGAGCCATTGTTTATTCAACTTCTACTTGATCCAAAGCTAATTCAGAACTCAGATATATAAAAAAAATTCCATCAAATTTAGAACAGTCATCAAGACTTTGCAAAAGTCTTTGCAGTATATTTAAAAAAATTCCATGAAATGTTTCAAAAGAAGATGATGCTCCAGGACACTTTTCAAAGTAGCTTGTTAGATTTCCTTAATGACCATAATTATAAGTTAAACCAAGTGAGACTTCGATGCCCACTTCTCCGTCTCAAAAGTCTTGATTTGTAAAATGTAATCTTGCAATATCCAACACCATTAACTTTTTTTTATTTTAAATAATGACTCACACAACTTTATAGCAATAAATATCTGAGTCAACCATCCCAAGTCAAGGTCTTTGTCTTTTACTGAATGCATTTTCAAAAGTATTTTGATTATTGTAAGGAGGTAGGCCCTCTTTGATTGATATGCTTCAGGATAATTTATCTCTGCTACTTATTGGCTAAAGAGGACCTACCTCTTTACAATAATAAAAAAAAAAAAACCCTAGTCACGAATAGAACAAGCATTTTTAAGGCAAAATAATCAACATGGTGCTTGAAAATCTACCCAAAATAAAGCCCTAGTCACGAATAGGAACACAATTTCTAAATATGAATCAGCAAATGGTAGCTTGTGCTAAGTGCTAGCTGCACTGTTTCAACAGCTAATTGAGAATTTTTGTAACCGATCACTCTCAAGTCTCAAAGTAGCTGAATTCCGAAAATATGATAACTTTTATTAAATATGTAATTTAGTAAAATACAAAAAAAAATATATGTATGGTTTAGCTAAGCTAGTACAAACAGGACAAAACTTACAAACAATAGATTCAAAAACTTAAGAAAGAGTGTACTGGAATGACAAGATTTAGTTGCACAAAAGATGAGACACAATCTGCATGGTCGGTCTAGACTGTGGACTTGCATCTAAGCATAAAAAGGCCAAATCCATGATGGAAATCAAATTGTTCTGAACTTCCAGGGAGGGAAATGGAAGCCTTGGATCCAACATATCATCAAGCTCTATGTTCATGTTTGCAAATGAACCTGAAAAAGAGGCGAGAGCATCTCCGGGATGCTTCCCTAGGATGACTTCCAATGCCAACACCCCAAAGCTATACACATCACATTTCTCAGTCACCTTCATTGTGTAAGCAAGCTCTGTAAAGTGAAAGAAATATGCAACCTTTATCATTGATTATCCAATAAGGGTAGTGTAAAATGATAGTGAAGGAATTATATACCTGGTGCAACGTAGCCATATGTGCCTGCAAGTTGAGTCCAATTAGATGAGTCTGGCTTCAGAAGCTTAGCAGTTCCAAAATCTGAGACATGAGCTACATATTCCATATCTAGCAGCACGTTCTTGCTTGATATGTCGCGATGGACAATTGGTGGGAAGCAATCATGGTGCATGTAAGACATGGCATGAGCCACACCTTTTATGACATTAACTCTCTTACCCCAATCCAACACTACTGCTCCTGCTTCGTTGCTTAGAATTGCAGCCAAGCTACCCCTCTCAAGATACTCGTAGACTAAGAATGAGTGTCGAGAATGTGAACAAAAGCCAAAAAATTTCACGATATTTCGATGCTTTATCTCTGTCAATACCCTTATTTCACTCAGGAAATCTTTTTGATTAGCTATATCACCTGTATACGTAGAGTGGATTTTCTTAACTGCTACAATATTCCCTGGTGATAACTCAGCTTTGTAAACACTTCCATAACCACCTTTCCCAATGAAGTGATTGGCATCAAAATCCTTGGTTGCTGCTATGATTTTTTCATACATCTTTCTTCCTTTAAAAGTTGATATCGAGAGAAATTCTTCATTGTTCATCCCACTTTCTTTATCTTGTGAGTCTCTCTTTGTTTTTCTGGAACTAAAGAGTATACAGATCACCACAAGAGAAAGAACAAGAGCCCCTAGAAGAGGGAAAAAAACAGTAAAAAAGACTATCCAACCCTTTTTCAGGCCATGTTTTGTTGCAGCCGAAGTTCTGCAAGGTTGTAGCCCTCTAACATCACCACACAAATCTTTGTTCCCTCGTAGTTCTTCGATGGTAGCATCTCGAAATGCTGTTGTGTTGGGAATTGGACCTTGCAACTGATTGTCAGATATGTCAATATTCACCAGGTGCATCTTCTCAAATTCTCTTGGAATGAACCCAGAGAGTTTATTATGGGAGAAATTAAGATTTTGCAAGTCCTCTAAATCACAGATTTCAGAGGGTATCTTTCCGCTGAGGAAGTTATGACTCAAATCTAACTCTGTCAGCCGAATTAGCTTCCCCAACTGAGGTGGAATTTCTTGGGTAAAGTGGTTGTTGCTCAAATTCAAGCTGTGCATTTGCAACAAGTTCCCTAGACTTCTAGGGATTGATTTGCTCAACCTGTTTGTAGACAAATCAAGACTCTTGATTCCGGTGATTAATCCAATTTCCAGAGGTATACCACCAGAAATTTGATTGCCATTCAAAATTAGATGCTCCAGAGAATTTAAATTTCTGAATTCTTTTGGAATCTTCCCAACTAGATTATTTGAAGAAAGATCAAGAACATCTAGTCGAGTTAAGTTTCCAAGTTCAACTGGTATACTGCCAGTAAGATTATTCTCTGCCATCTTTAGGGTGCCTAATTTTGGACACTGTCCCCAGCTAGATGAGATTTCACCATAAAATTTATTATGGCTGAGATCTAGTAGATCTAGCTTTGGATAGATGCCAAAATCTTCAGATATATTTCCAACAAGTTGGTTTCCTTGCATAAGGATTCTTGTTAGGCTTGTGCAATTTCTCAAGTCTTTGGGAATTGGACCAGAAAAATTGTTGTCATTCACACTGAACCTCTCAAGTGAACCACCATGACATATATTATGGGGTAAAGAACCAGTGAANGAGTTTCCAAGCTCAAGTTACACAATTTACGCTCAAAACTGTCATTTATGCTAAAAATCATCGTTTAGGCCTACAAAGACAAATTAATAGAATTAGGTAGTAATTATGGCCCAAATTGTATGAAAAGTATCCTAAATCCTATCAAAATTCAATGCAAAATCATAGTGTAAAATATGATTATCAACTATCGTAGACCAACTAAGTATCATCTCTTGATCTCGACTTAGTCCATTATTTCACTCAATTTTTGGGCTTTTAAGAATAAAAAGCATTAGGCATAATAATAAAACTGCGTTTCGTTCCTTGCATTTTTCTCTACCACCATGCAAAAAATAAGATCGAACGGACAACCGGGGAAAAGATTGTCCCTCGGTGTGCCACACGCCCCTGCCGTGCACGAAAGGAAGGTTTTCACTACACATCAAGGGCGTACACACCACAATTCAAATGAGGATTTTAGGAGAACAACAAAACAAACCCCGACCCAAAATGCATAGTATGCGATTTTTTACGATTTTTCAAAGTTTTAATCTTCGAAATTAGGAAGAAATCCTAATAAAAATCAACATAAATAAATCAACACATAATCATCAAGAGATTGGGCTACATCTTAGCCCAAGAAAATAAAATTAGTTCATAGCAATTATGAAAGAAACAATCATCTTTATTAAAACGAAAATCATGAGTTTAAGGAGAAACAAATAAAAACTTCTCTATGATTTTGCTCTAAAAGCTCCAGAAATTCTGATGCTTTTCTTTTTTCTTCTAATAGTTTTCCTCTTGATCTCTCCCAAAAATCCCTTAAAACGATGCTAAAGACTTGTATCTATATCCCACAAAGGTTAGGGTTTCGTTTCCCCTCATTCTACTAAGTTTAAGAATCCTAAAACCCTAATTTCCTAGTCAAACATGGAAATTAGAAACCCAGCTATCGTGACAGTGCTTGGCACTATGCTACGGCATTGTTGATTCTGGAATTTGCTCTTCAGTTCAAACCTTGCATCATTCCTCAACACTCTAGATATAGTGATTTTTGAGCATGATAACAATGAAATCCGGAAAAGTGGTAAACATATGTAATATAGTCATTTGAATTAAATTTCTAACAGTTCAAGAATTGTCTTAATATGAGATCTACAACTCAAGTTATTGTTGAAACACCGAAGCATGTTCAAACTAGAGCATAATCTAGAATCTCCTCTTTAACTTCAAAACTCCATAACTTCTTCAATTCAACTCCGATTCTTGATCCGTTTGTTTCTACTCATCACTCATTCTGTTGCTGACATGATTTTTCATCTGAGCATAACATTTAGCATAGATACCCTGAAAACACTCAAACACACCCGTGATCCCGTAAAAGAAATTTCTGAAAATATTAAGCAAATTTACCAATTTAAGCCTAATTTCTCCCAAATAGTCCCCATAAACCACTAAGTAATTGTGTATTTTCAAGCTCTTATCAGAAACCAGAGAGGTTATTGTGAGAGATATTAAGATTCTACAAGTCCTCTAAATCATAGATTTTAGTGGGTATCTTTCCACTGAGGAAGTTATGACTCAAATCTAGCTCTGTCAGTAGACTTAGATTCCCCAACTAAGGTGGAATTTCTTGGGTAAACTGGTTGGTGCTCAAATTCAAGTAAAACATTTTCAACAAGTTCCCAAGACTTCCAGGGATTGGTTTGCTCAACCTATTTGCAGACAAATCAAGTGAAATAATTCATGCTTAGAAAGGGTAAAATTGGTGTAAAACATGGTATAAGGTCATATAACATGTTATTGAAACTAAAAGGGTGAAATTGTTACCTTTTATGTTTTACAACTTTTGTAACTTGAAATGGAGTTCAAGATCTTCAACAAATTTGATGAAAATCCTCAAAGTAAAGTTCACTCTAAGATGAAGAAGAGAGGGCTGGCCATGAGAGCTCAAGAGAGAGATTTTCAATCAAAATGAAAATTAGATTAAATTTGGGGAATATCACTAATTTATATACAAGGACCATTTTGCAATAATTTGAAATTGTTCCCAAGTCCTTGAATTAATATGAATCATATATTAACACTTAATACAAATTCAATATTACTTTCAAGTCCTTGAAATAATTTCAATTTAATATTAACTCCTTGATTTAAACAAATTTATAATCAAGGCTTATAAAATAATTCCATTTAATATTTAACCCATTATTGAATCCAATTCAATAATATATTTTAGTCAATTATTGAATCTAATCCAATAATGACCAAATTATCTTATTACCCTTCATAAGTGCTAGCTTCCCATGAGGAATTATTTCTCACCAATACATAAATTTGGATGCACACGTTTACATCTGAATATCGTTAACCTTTAACGATATGTATTACTCTCTCTTCTCATACTTGGTTTTTAGGTGTGACGATTTAGGTTCACTGTAACCTAGCCGTGGACCTGATATTGCAATCTGATATGTTTCGTCATAACTCTTTGTGATCGAAATTCCCACCGGTCATGGTAGGCATCTGGCAATGCTCCATAACCCCTAAGCCACAATGAAGTTAAACTCCAATGAGCCTTTTTTTCCCGACCGTACGTTCTATTTAGTAAAATCCCTCTGTCGTGTAATCCCAATTAAGTATAGGTTCATGGTATGTCAAAACCCGTAACTTAATTTTTATCTGAATCGTCAATCAATACAATGGAACGTGTCATCATAAAACTCCTTTCCATATAACTATTTTGTACTCTGGCCTGAGATTTCCTTTTTGCCAATGTTTATTGACATTCGTCTAGGAACTTGGGACTAAACTATTTCGAGTCAACGGATCCCATCTTGACCATCATTTCTTCTCACACATGAATAACATATGACCAAATAGGCTTCTTACACAAGACATGACTAGTCTCGTGTATATACCCCATATGAATTATATGCATCTTATGTCGAGTCCATGGAATGCACATTTGAACAGATGCGTGCTAAGGCTATGAGAACGGATACCAAGACATTTTGTTGTTTATTAATGGATATGCTAATGTAGGTCTATTCCATAAGGTTATTAGCAGTGTTAGGTTGGCTGCAAAGTTTGAGATACCTGAGAATACATCATTTTGTAATGCAGTCATATCCGCTTGTGCAAAGGTTGAGGATTTGATGGAGATGGAAAGAGTTTTTTAGCCGATGAAAGAGAAGCAAACTCAACCAGATTCTAGAACATTTGATATCATGATGGAGGCATATGCAAAGGTATGAATGAATGACAAGGTATATGATCTAGAACAAGAGAGACTGAGGATGCTGGCTAAGGCTTCTAAAATCAATTAAGCTACTGAAATGAAGTGAGCGGTTTATTTCTGATTGAGAACCTGAGGCAACTAGAAGTGTTATGATTGTCCAAGTTTCATGTGTGACAGACTGGGCTATATCAGCGGAATTACTGGTTGAGCATGCAATTAAAGCTTTTTCTTTAAGAAAAGGCTGCAATTGCTCATTCTCTATCCTTGTGTTTGGTGCAACACTGTTGTAACAGTCCATTGGATATCTCCATTGTTCTACGAAAAACTGTTTGGCTACCTTAATTGTGTACAGATTTGATGCAGCAATAGAATTGATGATTACGTTTTTGTAAACTTGAAGAGATTTTTATTATTTTTTTGTTACTTTTCTTTCTGTAATGTGAAATTCCAAATAGTGTCAGCATCACATTTCTTGCCTTCTTTCTTTCTACTCTGACGACCTTATGTATGAAGTATATACAATTCATTGTGGTATGGTAGATGGTGAGTCGACAGAGATCTGATTCATATTCTTATTTGACTTGCCTTCCTCCTAAGAAAATCTAAAATTATGTTAAAAGCTTATGCCTATTGGTTTGCTATTAGCAGCTGTTTGACAAATCTCAAAGGCAGGAAACCGGGAAAAGAATACTATTGAAATCCCAAGAAAGAAATTGTTAGTTGCAACAGAACAAACCTGATTTGGTATTACACAGTTGCACACTGCCAAGCTGAAAGGTCTTATCTTTGCTGATAAATTGTAATGACTCTCTTTCTAGCTAGTATACTCGTAAAATAACAGTAAAACTTACTAAATATATATAAGAGGGCATAAGTTAAATTACTTACCTCAATGTGGGCGTTACAGAAATCATCTGATGTTGCAATCAATCCCATTTGTTTTGTATATTGTGACTCATAAAATAATCAGAAAATTTAGTAAAATATCTTATCTATCAAATCATTTCGTCTCTTTAGACTTTTATTTGATGGTGTTATGGCCGGAGAATTCAAAGAAAAGAAAGAAAAAAACTGAGGAGTGTATGGAAAAGTTTTTATCTCTTCATCAAAACTGATGATTTATACAACAGGACAACTAAACCATCCACTGTTACAACAACTACAGCAAAGATTTTTCATATTTGAATTTAAACTCTAACAACCAACAAAACATGCTCCAAATACATCATTTACATGTCTTAATCACACTTAAACAAATCAACCAAAATGCACCAAAAACTGCAGCTCACACACGTCAGACCAACTACAAAAACATAATTCAATTGGTGCCAAAAACATTCAAACTGCAAATTGGAAATTTGATGCATTTCCAACAAAGTATCATTGCATCAACACTCCTCATTGATACCTTGCTGGAAACACCAAGTTTGAGCCCAAGTTCTTCAAACTTGGCTTTGGACAATGCTTTGGTCATAATGTCAACAGTTTGATTCTCACCCTTGCTGT